ATTTGGTAGTTAGGTAATGATAGAGTCTTCCTCTGTTTTGTTGCTCTAGTGCAGTCAGTCATGCTATTTTCATGTAACTCCAATTTTCACATGACTTTATCTTTGGAACCTAACCCTGTTAAGGTATCCATTTACTGCATTAGATTTTAATGTAATAATGCCGTTCAAGACCATACCAGTTGTTTACTGCTATTTCGTGGTTTTGAAATTTCATTTTTATAGCTTTCTCTCTGTTCTCTGTCAAAACTAGGACTAGAAAATCAAAGGACTGAAATTTTTTTGGAAAAAGAATATTCCATTAATAAAGTGCTTCATTCTTTATATATGTCTTGCCTAGAAGTTTAGGGGAGTATTTTTATTATTGTTTTATCATTGCTTATCTTTAATGATGTTTTCAGTTTGTTGGTAGTGACTCCTGGTAAGTGACCCTTTGCAATATATAAAAGACAAAAGCTTCAAGAGTTTTTACTAAGTTGTATTTCAGATCAGTAACACCAATATCTGTGACTTGCGAGAATCTAAAGAAAAGGTGATTATTTACTTGTAGACCAAATATTCTGTTATTACCCTGTTCTTCTGTATAATGTTGCATGTTGTTATATGGTGCTATCAAGTTGATTCCAACTCATAGTGACCCCATGTAACAAAGCAGAATGGCTCCAGAGTTCTCTAGGCTGGAGTCCTTTTAAGAGCCCATCTCTAGGTCTTTTTCCCATTGAGCTGCTGGGTGGGTTTGAACTAGCAACCTTTTTGTTTAGCAGCTAAACTGCTTAACTTTTTGTACCACTAAGGTTCCTTATGTTGTTGTTATTTGTCAAGTCAGGGCCAGCTCATAGCTGACCCTCCGGTGGGTTTCCAGAGCCTGTATTGTGCATGGGAGGAGACTGCCCATCTTTCTCCCACGGAGCAGCTGGTGGAGTCAAACCATGTGATTTTGGGTTGGCAACTCCACTCCTTACCACTAGGTCACCAGATCTTTGCCAACTATAGAGTAGCCATGTTGTTTTCTCATCGTCAAAATAAAATATGAGGTGAAGTCCTGTGGTCACCAGATTCTTGAAATAGCTGCCATGTACCAATTAGGAAGGGATCACCTTGTAACTGTAGTCTTTATATGACAATAATTTACTCACATTTATGCACAGAAAAGAATAATAAACAAATTTAGAAATTATTACTGCTCTGTTTTGGCAAGAAATTTCGGCACATACACAAAACAATACATTTGACAGGCCAGGTAATGTCTGAAGAGCTCAGTTTTCTTTGTTAAATGCTTATTTCTTTATAACATGCTTATTGTTTTCATATAAAATTTTAAGCTTCTGTTTTGTGAGTGGAAATCTGTGAGGTCATGTGGGGACAGAGCTGGATGTGACTCCTTAGGGTTGTGAGTAACACCTCAGGTAACATCCCTGAGAAAACACAGAATTGAAGGAAGTGTAGAATAGTGATACAAGATGCTCTAGCATGCTGTGAGAACTTATCACTGTTTAGCCATCCTGTATGGCCTTGGTGCTCTGTTTAATGTGCAAGTGTTTTTGAGCCTGAGAGGGTTATTAGAGCATGTTGAAGAGAAAAACTGGATAAACTGTGTATACTGCACTGAAACAGATGAGGGAGTGAATAATTTAAAAGCGATATATGATAGGGTATTATGGTTATCACAAGAGTCCACAATTAAGGTTGCATAGGGGAATGTACTTGGGGTGGTGGGAGGGGTGCGGGGGGATTGTGTACCAGGGAGGGAGTCTTTCTTTTACTTTTGAAAGAGAGGAGCAAAGGGGGGGGGAGAGGGCTGGGCGGGGAGAGAAGTGCAGCAATGAATGAATGGAAATCCAAATTCTCTGTAAATATTCATTAAAATTATTTAAAAAAATAAAATAAAAAATTAAAAAAAGAAAAGAATAAACTATGTTCTTCTTTCCTGAGAAGCAATTCTCTAGTTGCCCGGGTTTAACTCTGTCTTTACATCATGACTCCATGGCTAAAACAGAAATCTGTATTAGTCCCTCTACATCTGGAGCAAAGAATGAAGAAAATTGAAAACTATTAATCAATAAGACTAAGGACTTCATGAATTTGAGCCTCCAATTCTGAGACCAGAAAGAATGTGGAACAACACTCAAAAATCACACACACCAAAAAATTATATGGTTCCAGTCACTCTTCAAGTCTAGAACTGAAATCATCCCAGAGGCTCAGCTCTCAGCCAAGTGATAGACAGGCCTTTAAGGTGACAATTGGACCAGAGAATACTCTACCACACAAGGTCAAAAGGGGAGCCATTGGCCTGGAGGCAGGGAGGGTGAGGAGATAAGGATAAATGGAAATGGGAAAAGTGCTATTAAACTGATTGTTACCTTGCAATCTAAGTCAGGAGAGAAAGTAGGTGTGAATTACTGACTAGAACACCAGCCTGCTCTAGGAAACTCAAATCAGAAGTTAAAGAATGAACACATGTTAAAGGATGAAAGAACTTAAATTTTACTTCCTGTTACTTGTCACACATGTCTCAACCTCAATGTCTCAGTTACTCCATACTTTAGCTTTTTTGTGCTTGAAATTCTTGAAAGAAATATATTGGAAACAAAACAGATCAAAGATGAATAAAGAGAAACTAGGAAAAAAGCATATTTAATTTTAAAAGAACCTAAACATTAAGAGCAATGATTACAAAAATTACTCTATAACTTGGGAGGAATTGGAGAGCATTATAAGTGAACTAACTGAATCCTATAAGGACAAATTGTATATAAGACCATTATTGTAAAAATAATTAGTAAAATGGGGATGAGGATCAAAGGTAGGGAGCAAAGGGTGAGCATGGGCAGCAGGGTAATCATAGGGTCACATGATTTGATGGGTAGAGGGAGTGATAGCGAATGGAAATCGATAGGATCTGGTGTGAAAAACAATGTATACAAATTTGCAATAACTAAAAAAGTATTTAAATAAATGTTATTCCCGCACATTTGTAAAAAAAAAAGTGTTCTAAAGAACAGACAAAACACACATCAGACTGTTCTTTATACCCCATTAATTGAAAGCCTGAAAAAGGTGAATAAAAATTATATCAGAGAGCAAATGGGGGGGAGGGGGAGGGGTTTGTGAGGGAAGAAGGGTGCAACAATGAATGAAAGGAATCCCAAAATCTCTGTAGATGTTCATTGAAATGAAAAATAAACAACCTAAATTTTTAAAAAAAATTATATCAGAAAACGTTTAGGCTATTTGTTGGTTAATTCCTCTATTCCATTATAGGAAAGATATGTACCAATTTGCCTTTGCCATTGGACCTTTTAAAACTGCAACTGTTCTTTAATAAACTGTTCAGATGTCTTTGGAAAAGAAAAAAAAAACAGCCATACATAGTCTTACTAAGCATGTACATTCTCAGGAATATTTAGCCAAATAGCCAGGCCATAAGAACTGAGATTCAGCACTGCAGAGCTATTGTTACAATATGAAACCTATACCTAGACCAAGAAGCTGTTGTCTGAAAAGACCAAGGGCTTACATTGTTTCAAGAAAAGCGTGCATCAGGGTTGTATCCTTTCTCCCCACCTGTTCAGTCTGTATGCTGAACAAATCATTCAAAAAGCTGTAATCAATGAAGAAGAATGTGGAAGGAGGTTCGAAGGAAGTTCCATCAACAACCTGCATTACACAGATGCTTGTTGAAAGCAGAGGAATCCTTTGCTGCAGAAGATCAAAGATTATAACCTTCAATATGGGATCACCTCTCAACATTGAGAAAACAAAAATTCTTAACCATTAGACCAAGAGGCAACATCATGATAGGTGAAGAAAACATTTCAATTGTCAATGATTTCCTCATACTGGGGTTATTACAAAAGATCTACAGTCACCCTTGGTCCCAGCAGTTAAGAAATCAAAAGATGTATTGCACTAGGAAAGTCTACCGTCAGGGACTTCTCCAAAGTGCTGAAGAACAGTGGTGTCAGTATAAAAACTAAGGTGTGCCTGACTCAAACCAGAGGCTTTTCAATCACCTGCTGTGCATTTGGGAGCTAGACAATGAATAAGAGAGAAGAATCTACGCCTTTGAGTTATGGCGTTGCAGACGAATGCTGAATGTCTCATATGAATTAAAAAGAATTAAAAATGGTATGTCTTGGATAAAGTCCACCTGACTGTTCCTTTGGGGCAAGAATGGCGAAGATTCGTCTCACATACTCTGGGCACGTTGTTTGGAGAGGCTGTTTTTAAACAAGACACCAAGCTTGAAAAGGTGAGAGTAACCGAAAGAAAGGAAGACCATCATACTTGGGAACAGGCATCATGAAGTGGGGGGTCAGCAAAAGACAGACCCTCAAAGAGATAGACTGACACAGTGGCTGCCACAATGGTATCGCGTATATCAGAGATGACGGCATAGGATAAGGCAGGGTTCTGATTTGTTCATAGGGTCGCTAGGACTCAACGTCACTTAACAACAAACTTGAGCCAAAATTTTCTAGGTTCTGAATTTCTTTGGAGTTGTGCCTCCTGCCTAAGCAGCTCAAGATTTTGGGACGAAGAAGCTTAAAAACGAGCGATGTCTTTATTTACTCCCTTCTTCCTTCGTCTGCAATCCTCTTTAGATCCCGGGGCTCTGGCGAGGGGAGAGTGAGTACAATCTAAGCCTTGGCCACACTATGATGGAGAATCACTGTCGAGGGCATACTTGCGGTGCTAGTTGAAAATGTGGCTTCCGGGGCCCCACTGGAACCCATCGGGCCAAAAGCTGGTAGCTGGCCTCAGAATATCCAAGGAACGCTAAAATTCTTGGCCTCACCAAACACTCCTCTCTCCCTCCATTCCTCTTGCTCCAAAGCAAGTTTACTCCCAGGCCTGAAGGAACTGCACAGAGAGCTGTAGTTTGGGGGCAGTGACGAGCCAGAATCCCACAGCGGAAGGAGCTTGACACTCTCGCGAGGTTTCCGCCGGCCTCTCGGGACGGGTGGGCGGGGAAGCTGTGGCCCCGAAGTGAGTGCGCGATGCGCTCGGAGAAGGAAGGGGCCAGTGGGACTGCGGCTGCTATGATTACAAGAAGTTCGAGTGGGAGGGAGAAGCCGGCAGTGCCCGCCACCCGCGGGGCTCCGTCCATGGAGGTTCAGTTCCGTTGGGAGTCGCCACGACGGGAGTCCGAAAAGCCGCCCGCTTCCACCTCCGGATGTGGGGGTGGCGGGGGCGGCACCAGTAAATCACGCGAGGACAAGAGGACGGTTCTGAGCAAGGTCCGGAAGGCGGGGCGAAGCCCGGGCTGGGAAAAGATGAGAGCTGGGAGGTGCGGGGCGACGAGGGCTGGGAAGGGCGGGGCGCCTTCAGGACCCGGGAGAGCGCCAGGTCCTGCGTCACTCTGGGGAGGGACCTCTGCCCATCTGAGAAGAGATGGACTGGAACTGAGGAAAGAAAGGGATGCTGAAGGAGACAGTTTCCTGCACCCTCTAAGGTTTTTTTCCTAACTTTCAGAGGAATAAAATCATCATTTTGGCATTGTGAATGTTTTTCAGTTGGATTTAAAAATCCTTGACTCAAGATTATCAGAGAGCATGTTAAAAGCAAATATTCTCTTCTCAGCTCTCTTCTCACCTCTAATTGTTTTCATTTCCGAACCGACATTAGTACTTATTAATAATGATCGCCCCTCCAGATACGACTAAAACAGCAGGCTGCTGGAAAGGCTTCAAAACTGGTCACACAGAGATAGTTGATTGTTTCGTTTGTAGAGCCACATTTATAAGGCTGATAAATGTTAATCTAATAAAGTTCTCCAGGAAATGGTTATTGAAGAAAGTATTATGAATCAAAACAAACTCGCACCGGAGGCGATTGCTGCGGAGCAGCTGGTGGGCTTGAACTAATTGCCTTGGGGTTGACAGCGCAACTCTTTACTACCAACTAAGCCACCAGAACTCCAGTAATGATTATTAGAGAACCAAATGTACTGATACTGCAGGTCCTAGAGAAAGTGTAGTGTCCCCCATAGGCAGCCAGAGTGCTGCAAATCATGAAGCTCTCCCCAAACTACTGTTGGCAGTAAGAATTAATACACCTTTATTACTTGAATTTCTCTGAATGTATTTTACTCTATAATAGTATTTTATATTACACATATAGTGTAGATTTTATTTTCCAATTCTAACACAATCTGTGTAATCTTCCAGCAATTTTCTTGATATAATAATGCAATGATTCCATGAAAATGATCAGCCTTTTCTGACTTCACTGATGACTTCTAAGTTACTCAGTTCTCCATAAGATTTGGCAGCCATATTCTCCAGGAATATATGTCTTAATCTTTCCTAAGTGTATGTTTCTGTTGGACTCCTGTTTTAGATTTTCCTCTGGACGTTAGATAGTTGATCAAGCCTTCAAACAAATGATGCTTAATAACATTGATAGCAAAAACCAGAGTCCAGTGAGCATTTTACTTTGTTGCTCCTCAGGTTGTCATTCGGAGGCTGCCTCCCAGTCTTACCAAGGAGCAGCTGGAAGAGCAGCTACACCCACTTCCAGCGCATGATTATTTTGAATTCTGTACTGCTGATCTTAGGTGAGGAGAAACTAAGCTTTAGAAGCTGAGAGGTACTGTCAGTTGATGGATCATTACTGTAGATAATAGTATTGTTGTTTCCATATCGTCTTCCAGATGCCCCCCCCAAAATTAGTGTCTTTATTTTTGCATATTATTTCTATGGGAGCAGATTATTCAATTCCTCCAAAATAGAATTTTGGAATATTCTTATATTGTCAGGGAGCTCTGGTGACCTAGTGGTAAGAAGTTGCATTGCCAACCCTTAAGGCATGTGGTTTAAATCCACCAGCTGCTTTGCAGGAGAAAGACCAACTGTTTTTACTCATGTGAAGACTTAAAACTAATACTTAATTTTTGAACCTGATTTCATGTAGTTTGTTAAATTATATTGAGATGTCGCAGAAAGGAATTAAATCTAAATCGTAAATGTGTTATCTGATGGATATTTGCAAGTGAAAGGCTGGAGGGTCATTTCTGACTCAACAACAATGAGAGTGAGTGAAAGTAAACTACTATCTTAACCAATTCTTTCTGCAGATTTAGTAGCATTACTCTTACACTTCCCCTTTAAGAAGCCCTGGTGGCAACTAAAAGGTCAAGGCTCAAATCCACAAGGCATAGAGCTGTACGAGAACATAGTCTCCTCTCATAAAGATTTAGAACTTTAGAAACCCAGTAGAGGGCCACTCTGAGGAAGACATGAGATGATGACAGTGGATCTTAATGTACCTTTTAGGAATCTTCCCAGCTGCCATCTGGGAGAAAGATGCAACAATGGGCAGTAGTGCTGTGTCTTAAAAGGTTGCTCTGAGTCACAAGTGACTCCACAAAAAAAAAAACAACAAACAAAAAAAAAACCAAAAACAAGTGACTCCAAGGCAGTGGTTTTGCTTTTGCTGCTTTTATTTGTTTTAATCTTCCTTTTAACAGGGAGCTTATGTAAGCTCCGACTTTTATCAGACAGCAGTGCAGCTAGAAGTTGGTGATTTTTTTATCACTTTATTATCTTGGTTTCCCATTTATAGTAATCATGTAAACTTCCTTTTTGGATAACTACATTTAAGTTGGGTTTTTTCTTTTCTGTTTTGTTATTTTGCAAAATCAGTCTATTCAGAGAAAATTATTACTAGTAAACATAAACATGGTAAAAACATAAGGATGATTTTCAGATAACAAAAGGTTAGGACTTGGCTCTATCTTGCACTGTCATCATGATCTCCAACCTGCTGGGGCCCTTTGTTACAGTCACTGTGTCAATCCCTCTTGTTGAGGGTCTTCTTCTTTATCTCTGACCTTCCACCTTTTCCAGTGTGATCCAGGCACTGGCCTCTCCTGACAACATGCCCAGAGTATGTTTCACCACGATGGTTTCATCATCTAGTTAAAAGCAGACAAGCTTTGGAATTAGAATGACTCAGATTGGAATCCTCTTTCTTCCTGTAGGCACCATGAGCGTTTGAATTGTGTACAATTTTGTTGTTGTTATGTGCCATCAAGTCACCTGAGACTCATAGCAACCCTTACTTAGTACAACAGCCCTAAACCCTGCTCTATCCTGAGCCAACCTTATTATCTCTTACATACCTACTCCCATTACCTGAGTCACTATCTCATTGAGGGTCTTCCTCTCCTGCGCTGTCCCTCCACCCTTCCAAGCATGATGTGGCTCTCCAAGGACCAGTCCCTCCTTGTGTCATGCCCAAAGTATGTCAGATGGAGCTTCAGAATCCTTGCCTCCAAGGAGAATCCTGGTTTCACCCTCTTTCAGATGAACTTGTTTCTATACAATGTACTATAGTAAATATTCCTTTTTATATTTTTTTTTATTATTTTAAATAGTCTTAAAATAACTTAAAAAATAATAATCAACAAAAATTAAACCTATTACTGTAGGGTTGATTCTCACTCATAGTGATCTTGTAAGTTAGAGTTCTGCTGCGAGGTTTCCAGGGCAATAAATAATTATAGAAACACCCTGCTTCATTTTTCTCCCCTGGTACAGCTTGTGGGTTTGAACCATCAACCTTTTCTTTAGCAGTCAAATGCCTTAATTGTACTGCCCCTAAAGTACCTAAAAATATTAAAAAATATCTTGTACAATATAAATTTGCCTCTATAAATAAATCATGACTTGATTTCTGTGCCAGCTGGGATGTATAATGTAGATAGATATAACCCTTTTTTTTTTTTTATTTCAACCTCTGGGAACAACTGTTTTAATCCTGATCCTAAATTGCCTTTCCCAAGTCATTAAAAATGTATCAGGATTTCCCCATTGAAAGAATATTTCAGTTATTAGAAATAGCTCAGATATAATTTTTTTAGCACTAAGACTTAGTTTGAGGTAGCTTATTGAATCCCAAAAATATAAAGGAAATATTAAAATATACTTGTTTTTCTTAACTAACCATTACTTTTTATTTCAGTCTTTACCCTCATCTTTACTCAAGAGCATACATTAATTTTAGAAATCCTGATGACATCCTTCTGTTTAGAGATCGTTTTGATGGCTATATCTTCATTGACAGTAAAGGTTAGATCTTTGACTTCTTAATTCTTTACTAAAATCTTAATATATTAATGTGATTTTGCTGGAATATTTATGACATTTCATTCTCAGATACAAATCTAAAATAAGTTTGTAAATACTGATTATGTTACTATGATTATGGTCTGACCTTAAAAAAAAAAATTAAATAATATGTAAACCAAGAGGGCAATGGCAATTTTGTATAGCTATGAGAATTGTTGTTGTTGTTATGTGCCCGTCGAGTCGCTTGTGACTCATAGTGACCCTATGTACAACATCCCTAAACCCTGCTCTATCCAATACCAATCGCACTGCCTCTGACACACCCATCCATCAATCCACCTCATAGAGGGTCTTCCCTCCTACACCGTCCCTCCACCCTCCCAAGCATGATGTCCCTCTTCAAGTACCTGTCCCTCCTTACAACATGTCCAAAGTATGTCAGACAAAGCCCTAGAATCCTTGCCTCCAAGGAGCAGCCTGGTTTAACCTTCTCCAGGATGAATCTGTTTGTTTTCTTGGCAGTCCATGGTACATTCAATAATCTTCTCCAGCACCACAGCTCAAGGGCATCAACTCTCCTTCTATCCTCCCTAGTCGTTGTCCAACTCTCTGATGCATAACAAGGGATTGCAAAGACCATGGCCTGTATCAGATGCACCTTAGAGAATACATTAATATAATGGGGGAGTGAAGTTTTTTTTATGTGCATGAGTTTTCTGGATAACTGTACCTTTTTTTTTGGTTAACAATCCTTTATTGAAATATTTTCATCTGTAGTTCCTTAGCTACCTGGGCATTCCACAGCACCACTGTTGATGTCTTCTATGATGTCATGAGGGTGACGGCCATCAACATTGCAGCCCACAGATTGGGCAGTTCCCAGGATCTCTGTAATAGTTCCAGAGAGTTCTCTGGCTATAGACCGGTGTTGCATCTGCCGGGCAATGCCAACAATCTCATCAAAAGTGATATTTCCACTGTGCTTAATATTTTTCTGCTTCTTTCTGTCTCTGGGTGGTTCCTATAGGGCTTTGATGATCAAGGCAGAGGCAGAAGGTACCACTTCAATCTGGACCTGTCTGTTGTGAATGGTCAGTTTCACTGTAATCCTTAGTCCCTTCCAGTCACCGGTGGCCTTGGCAATGTCATCACCAACCTTTTTTGGAGACAGACCCAGGGGCCCGATCTTGGGGGCCAGAGCGGAAGTGGCACCGACTTCCCCACCGGTACACCTCAGGTACACAACTTTAATCTCGCTGGGGTCGAACTTGGGCGCCATGGCGGAGGCGGCTGGTGTCAGATGAACCCGGATGCGGGACGACCGAAGAAAGTTGCACCGAGGCCTCCTCCGAGCCGAAAGCCGAAAACTAACTGTACCTTTTTATATCATCAAACTAAATTATTTTGCTTCTGTTTGATGAATATTTTCTAACTGTTGTTATGTACTGTTGAGTCAGAACGGACCCATAGCTGACCATCCAGTGGGTTTTCAGAGGCAGTTAATTACACTGGAGGAGATTGCCCATCCTTCTCCTGTGGAATAGCTTGTTAATTTGAACTATGTGCCTTCAGGATTGCAGCACAGCTTCTTGCCATCGGGCCACCAGTGTTCCCCTTTTCTAAATGTATTACACATTTATTCTGTCATAGAATATTATTCATAATCTTACTCTTTTATCCTATATGTCATAGGAGAGAGTACTGTAACAATGAACATCACTTAGAGACTTGTGACACAGTGTCACCTGCAGGCACTGTGACACCCCAATACGCAATGGTTTCATTTCCCTATTCTTTTCAGGTTCTCACATCTGATTTTTCCCTCCTTTCCCTTCTTTCTTGTCTGTCAGCTATTAGATTTGATATTGTGCCTATACAATATCCCTTTTTTGGGGGAAGCAGGAATATAGTAATTTTTTAGAATTTATCAATTTGAGTGAAAGTTTACAAACCATTTTGGCTTTTGATTAATTCATTCATAAACATTTTGTTTTACAACATTAATTACAAGTGAGTAATCAAATTCTTGCAATGTCTAATCAAACTCTTACTGTATATAAACTTTCCCTTCATCCAATTTATCTACTTATTAATTTTCACTCCTTTTTCCCTCCCTATTCCTATTACTTGGCAAGATTGTTTCTATCTACACCTTTCCCTTTTATGTTAATTATTTTATACCATAATTGTCCTTTAGTGACTGACTTACGTCACTCTGCATGATTTGTTCTGGTTTCATCCATGTTGTGTAATATTTCATGAATTCCTGATAGTTTTTTAGGGATTCTTACTACTCCATGGTGTGACTGTACTATAGTTCCTTTGACTGTTTATCTCTTGATGCACACTTGGGTTGTTTCCAACTCTTGTAAATAATGCTACAGTAAATATAAGTGTGCACATGTCCATTTGTGTTGCTGCTCTTATTTCTTTGGGATATATACCTAGCAGTGGATTTGCTAGATCAAAAGATATTTCTTTTCCCAACTTTTTAAGGATGTGCCAAAGTTTTCATTCATGGTTGTCCCATTTTATATTCCCACCAGCAGTGTTACGAGAGATCTCTTGGCCACCTTTGCCAACATTTGTTATTTGATATCTTATTGAACATTTCTATTTTTGTCAGGATAAAATGAGACTTCATTGTTTCGATTGCCATTTCTTTCTTTTTTTTTTCGATTGCCATTTCTATAATAGCTCATGATCTTGAACATTTCTTCATGTGTTTGTTGCCCATCTGGATCCCTTCTTTGGTAATATGTTTATTCCTGTACTCTGCCCACTTTGTATTTGGGTGGTTGTTGAATTGTCTTTTTGTTACAATTTTGGAGTTTTCTATAAATTTTAGAAATTAGTTGTTTGTCAGATGTGTCATTGCCAAATATTTTCCACCCAATAGGTAGATTTTCTTTTCACTCTTTTAGAGAATTGTTCAGAACAAACTAGCATAGGAGTAAAAAGAAGGACTGAATAGACATTATACTGGTACAGGAGGAGATTACCCCTCCTTCTCCGGCAGAGCATATGGTGGATTTGAACCGCATATCTCTGGGAATGCAGTGCAGCTTCTTGCCACTAGGCCACCAGAGCTCCCCTTCCATGAAATTGTTTTAAAGAAGAGGGGGCAGAAACCAGAGGGAAAAAGATAGAAAACAGGTAAATGAAAATCCAGAAAGCTGTGAGAAATAAAAAAGTAAGGGAAGAACAAAGGAAGGACTGTTGAGATGGGCTGATTGAGCACCTGTTTGATGCTGTTGTCACTGTCATGATAGTTGGAGGTAAAATGTGTGGCCTGGGACAGTGTCTACTAGCCCAGCTGAATGTTGGAGATGGGGTTCCCAGTCAGGTCAGGATTTCTGTCCATTTGAGGGGCAGTTGAGACCTCAAGATGTGAACTATAGTACAGGTAGCGCCTCTTCATGTCTAGGGGCCCTTGAGGGCATCTAACCTGGGACAGAGTTTCCCTTCATTATAGAGGAGCCTAGGCTAATCTAGGGCATGGGTGCAGGCAAGGTGTATGGTCAGAGATGTCTGACTTGGAAAAGTAGTCACTACCAACCTGAAATTCCCAAGGATTACTCATTCCACAGCACATGCACTCCTCCAAATATGGCCATGGTGTGTGCCAGACCAGGATGACCCGTGACAGCCAAGGGCCACAGACATAGGTGGTACCCTAATAATTCAGGGGCTGACTACAGGCCAAGCAAAGGCCAGTCTACCGGAGATTAAATGTAGACAGTGCAAGCCCTGGAACCCAGATAGGAAATGGTACAGGTCTACCCTGAGGTGGAGGTAGGATGAGCCTGAAGGCTGCCAGCCACTTCAAGGGTGGTGATGGTAAGGGACAGTCACTCCCCTGATCTTTGAAAGGGCATTCAGGGTTGGGGGTGAGGCAGAGTGGGGAAGAGAGAAAGATAAAAGATGAGCGTTTTCCCATAGTCACCTTGCTTCTGAGGTGGATACTGCCATAGTCTCAGGCTCCCTTTACTGAGCTTCCTTACTCTCTAATGTTCTGTCTCTCTCTCCCCCTACCACTCCCTTCACACACACACACACACGGAGAGAGAAAAGGAGGTTGGGTATCCATGTTTCTCTCAAAGGACTAACTGTTAGATTCAAACCATCTGACTTTGAGTTGTCAGCACAGCTCCTTACCCACTAGGCCACCAGAGCTCCAAGAGCTGCACTGCGCCGTTCACAGTTCTTCACAGTATTTCTTTAACAGCAAATTGTTTTCTATCCTTCCCTTACAAACCAGCTCTTCCCACTCCATTCCAAACTCCACTATTGATTGATTTTTGTGGTGGTGGTGGTGTTGTTATCTTCCACTGTGAGATAGCATACTAGAAAATATTGTTTAAAATGTAACTGTACCTACAACCAGCAAAGAATAAAATAGAAGAATGGGACCCTCTAAGAATCAAATCCATATGCACATCAAAAAATGTCTGCAGTAAGGTAAGAAGGAAAGCCACAGACTGGGGAAAAATATTTGGCAGTGACATTTCTGATAAAGGACTTAAATCTAAAATTTATAAAATACTCTAGTGCCTTAACAAGAAAAAACAATATGGCACTTTCTCAAAAAGTTGGAAGTCTAAATACCATTTGACTCAGCAATTCCACTACTGGGAATATACCCTAAAGAAACCAGAGCCATATCTCAAACAGATGTATGCATAACCATGTTATTGCTGCATTATTCACAATAGCAAAGAGATGGAAGCAACCCAAGTGCCCATCAATAAATTAATGCATAGAAAAACTGTGGTACATCCACACAATGAAATACTATACAGCACAAAAAACTAGTGAAATAGTAAAACATTACACTTGAGGCAGCCTTGAGGACATTATGCTGAGTGGAATATCTCAGTCACAAATGGGTAAGTACTGCATAACACCACTGTTATAAAATAGTGCAGACATAGGGAAGAATGGGGAACACTAAGTCAGTTTTGCACCCCTTCTTCCAGATTGTTGTCATACAAATAATGCATAATCCTATGTTTCTTTCAGATAGTTCCTCCCCTCATCTATTCTAATGCAGTGTTCCACTGCACCTGTCCACTGCAATTTTAAAAATCATAACTAAGAACTGTCACTGTTTAAAGGTATTTTATATTTTTGAAGGGGCTAAGGTTTATTGAGGTACATGTGATATAAAATTCACTTTTTAAAATGAAGTGTTAGCTAGGAAAAAAATTCACCTCTTAAGATGTACAGTTTGATGAATTTTGCATAAAAACAGTCATGTAACCACAACTACAGTGTGATAAATTATATGATAAATAAATCTGGATTTAGCATGCCAAAATTGCTCAAAAATATAATTATAGTCATGGGTCACTTAATGTCCATGATACATTCTGTGAAATAGAATATTAGGTGATTTGGATATTGTGCAAGTACCATTTTGTATATGGGAAGTTCTCAGATTATGAATGTGTTCCATTTTTAAATCTATCTGTAAATCAAATATATACACAGCTTGAAACAGTGAGATATGGTTCAGACGTAATGTCAGTCAAATGCTTATCTTAGTATGTAGTATATACTTTTTTTTTTTTAAACATTAACACATATTTTTAATTATTCTGATTTGGCTAAAGCTTTTTAAAGATTTGTTACAAAGGCATTACTTTATCGCAGATTAAATGCCCCCATTATCAATAACTTAGAGAGTGTGAGTATGTAGTATATACTTTTATATGTATAAAAACATTAAAGAAACTTTTCCAAATACACCAAAATATCTTTAACATAATAACAGTAATAATATTTTGATTTGTCACAAAGTAATGCCTGTTTGTTATTATGAATTGTTGTTGTATTTCTGAATTTTAATATGTTGGGTTTTATGAAGGTTGGAATCATAGATATATATGTGATATCAGACATTGAACAGATGCCATGTGGTGTAAGTTATAATTCAAAGTAGTAATAACACAAGATGATTTTTCCCTGTAACCCCTTTAAGCAAACTACATTGTTATCTTCCAAAATGAATGTAGGATTTTGGAATAGATTTTGGACTTTTGTTTTCTCTTAAAGGCTTGGAATATCCTGCAGTGGTAGAATTTGCTCCATTCCAAAAGATATCCAAAAAGAAGCTAAAGAAAAAGGATGTCAAAGCTGGAAGCATTGAAGATGGTAAGCTTTTTTAAAAATCCTAGCTTATGAAGCTAGCCAGATAAAAATACTGACTAGGAAGAATTCCTTTCCCATAATTGTAGAGGAGTGTTTTTCTTGTCTTTTAAATTTTTTTAAATTTACAGATCCAGACTATAAGAAGTTTTTAGAAACTTACTGTATGGAGGAAGAGAAAACCAGCACCAATCCTGAAACCCTTCTGGGAGAGATCGAGGCAAAGACACGAGAACTCATTGGTGTGTTTGCGCACTTCTTCTCTCTACCTTGCTGTGATATGTATTTTTTTAGAGGATGTACATTTTCTTGATTATATAAGAAATTAAAACTTGTTATAAGCTTGGCAGACATACATTTTCTAGTTTGGAAAAATGGTAGCAAGCTAGCAACCTTGGGAAATATTTTTTGAGCATTTGTTGAAAGAAAGAATCTAGATTTTTAGTCCCACCTATTTTGTTTTCATGACCCTTGGTGATGTAATGGTGGGAGAACTCAGCTGCTGACCCTAAAGGTGGCAGTTTAAACCCACCAGCTGCCTTCTGGAAGGAAGGTATGGCAGTCTGTTTCCCTGAAGATTTACAACCTTGGAAACTGTGTGGGAGGTTCCAGTCTGTCCTGTAGGGCCCCTGTGAGCCTTTATAGAAATGAATACACTTCTATGCTTACAACAAAGTATCTGCCATTTCAGTAGTTTTGCACATACGGTGACATTGAGTATGTCCATCATGTCATGTTATACACTGTCACATTTCCAAAATTTTCCACCAAAATCACACTAATTTCAGATGATCCTTGATTTTCATTAGTTGCATCTGCCCATTCTTGGCTAGAGTTCATGGTTGTCCCAGGAGCCACCCCATGTATGAAGCCCAGTTTTCTTTCCACCCTAAATTTTACCTAATGTCCACCCTAATTTGCACTAAAGATGCAGGCGTTTGTTCCCTTGTTGGTTCTTACTGCACCTAACCTATCTGTCATAGAGCCCACGAGCCGGCTATGTTCCTGACTTGAAAGCCTGTTTGGGTGTAACAGCATCCTGAAGGTATAACTGGAGGTGTAACAGTTGACAAGGCCTAGAATATTTGGTTTTAACCTCTCGGCACCACAAGCCCCTTTCAGAATCTGGTGGAAAGTTTTTCTCTAGGAAATATTCATTATACAACATTTTGCACATAATTTTTATGTGTTTAAGAGTCTGCAATTCCAAGTTAAGAGCCTTGTTCCAGGAACTCTCATATAATTTCTAAATAGGCCACTAGGTCCTAGTTAATTTTGGGACACTTAGAGGGACCTCTGGTGGCCTAGTGGTAAGAAGGTACACTTCAATCCCAAAGGCATACGGTTCAAATCCACCAGCTGCTCCATGGGAGAAGGATAGGCAGTCTCCTCCTGAGTGATTAACTGCTTCTGAAAACCTGCTGGAGGGTCAGCTATGAATTGATTCCGATTCAGTGGTACACAACAGCTATAACAACACAGGATTTGGGGTCGGGGAAGGCTCTATTGGCCTAGTCTAGGGAGATGTGCTGCTAACCCAAAGATGTGCACCTCTCCATTGGTTCACATATACCAACCACTCTGTGAGAGAAAGGTGGACAATCTCCACTCATGCAGTTTACGTCCTCAGAAAACTCAGTGGAGGATCAGCTATTAGTCAGTTCTGACTCAACGACAATAAATGTTGTTGTTGTTGTTATTGGATTGTTTTTTGGTTTTTTGCATTTTTTTTATGAGGTGGACTCTGGAAATACTCTGTTCTCTTTTAGCTGTATCCAGTGATACTTCCCTTCCTTTTTAAGACACAGAAGATAAATCCAAATCATCTTCCACTGTCCCACTTATATCCTGATTTTGCCATTCAGAACACTTCGTATTCAAATTTTGTAGGCCACAGAAAACCCATACCTCTCAGAGCTAGTTCATCTTCTATAAATGCCTATGGAAATCTGTTCCAACTCGAGGGCATTGAGTTTGAGCTTAGAATTTAATACCACATTGGACCATTTTTCTAAACTACACTCATTCTGATTTATGAAGTTTATACTGTAAGTCATTGTAAGACTCCAAATTGCTTAAAATCATTATCTGCAAGGCATAACAGAAAGAAATTCCTAGAATATGTGTTGAAATGCTTGGAAATATTTTATTTGATGTTTTGAAATATTTGCAAAATGCATGAAGAGAAATTCATTGCCTTTGGAAGTTTTGTCTTCATTTTACTTTTTGTCTTTATACTATCTTTTTGAGTAGTATATTAAAGACTCTTTAAGAATCATGCATTAAATGCCTACTGAATAAAGAATGCTGGTGGCAAAGTAGTTAAGTATTCAGCTGTTAACTAGAAGGTCGGTAGTTCTAACTTAACCAGCCCCTCACAGCCTTAGAAACTCTATGGGTCAGTTTGTACTCCATCTAAATGGACAGCAGTGGGTTTGTGTATGTATAGAATTATCAATTCCTCCACATCACTTGACTGTATAGTGATTTAATAAGAAGTCACTAAGATAATGTCCATTTTTTAAATGATAATATTTTTCCTTTAATAATTTTAACGATAGTTAAAATAAATTTAGTCAGTTAAAAACTCCATTACAAGTTGGTTGTTTTTTTGTTTGTTTGTTTATTTCAGCTAGAAGAACCACACCTCTTTTGGAATACATTAAAAATAGAAAATTAGAAAAACAGGTAGGTCTGGCCTTCTGTCTGATGATTATCCTTCCAGTCTTTGCCATTTTTTGGAAACAGTTTATACACATACTTTCCCATAACTTCAGCGAATTCGAGAAGAAAAGCGAGAAGAACGACGGAGGAGGGAGTTAGAGAAGAAGCGCTTGCGGGAAGAAGAAAAAAGGAAAAGAAGAGAAGAAGAAAGGTGTAAGAGGAAGGAGGCAGACAAGCAGAAGAAAACCCCTGAGAAAGAGATAAGGTTCAAGGTAAACATTTCTATTTCCAGTAATTCTGCTATACTAACACTAGGTATTTTAACATTAGTTTTAACACATTTTTGCATAATCTATTCTTTGATTATTATGCCTCCATTTTCTTTTTTTTTTTTGCCTTTTTTATTAATGATTTTTTAATGCAACATTTTTTTTTTATTTTATTATTTTTTGTGCATGTACAGTCAATCAGATCTGACTGGTACAGGAGGAAATTGTTTCTCCTTTTCCAGAAGAGTATCTGGTGGATTCAAGCCGCACACCTCTGGGATTGCAGTGCCAACATATATATTTTGACACCATTTTCTTTCCACTTAATTTTTCCCCATTCATTCATTATTGCACATTTTCCTCACTGCCCATCCCTCCCCCCAGTTTGTTTTTCTCTTTGAAAAGAAAAGAAAATTTTTTTCCTTGTTATACAATCCCCTTCAAATCCACAGTCCACTTTACTATGCATTTCTTCTTCTGTAATTTTGTCATGAAAATAATACCTAATCGTATATTCCTTTTAAACAGTTCTCTCCCTCATCTGTTCCAATGCAGTATACATTATTTATCCCCTCTTTTCTTAGGATCCCCCCAGTCCTGATGTCAGTCCCGTTTTACGACAGTGGCACTATGCAGTATTTGTCCTTTCGTGACAGATATTTCACTCAGCATAATGTCCTCCAGGGCCACCCATTTTGTATACTATTTCATGAGTTCTTTGTTTTTTATTTGATTGTGTGAATATACCAGAGCTTATCTACCCATTCATTTGTTGATGGGCACTTAGGTTGTTTCCATCCCTTTGCTATTGTGAACAAATCAGCAATAAACATGAGTGTACATATATATGTGCTTGGGTGGAAGTTCTGGTTTCTTTAGAGTATATTCCCAATAGTGGAACTGCTGGGTCAGATGATATTTCTAACTTTTTGAGAAAGCACCATATAGCCTTCCATAGTGGTTATACCATTTTACACTCCCACCAACAGTGAATTAGTTCAACAGTGAACTTTCTCCACAACCTTGCCAGCATTTGTTATTTGCTGCTCTGTTGAATTTTGCTATTCTTACTCGGGTGAGATGATATCTCATAGTTGTTTTGATTTGCATCTCTCTTAGAGCTAGGGATTTTGAACACTTTTTCATGTGTTGGTTCACCATTTGAATGTCTTCTTTGGTGAAATTTCTATTCATGTCTTGTGCCCATTTTTCAATTGGGTTGTTTACCTTTGTCTTGTTGTGGCGCTCGTGTATTCTATAAATTCTAAATATAAATCCCTTATCAGACATGTCATTGCTAAATATTTTTTCTGAGTCTGTGGCTTTCCTTTTTACCCTGTTGAAGAAAGTTTTGGATGTGCAAAGGGATTTTATTCTTAGAAGGTCCCATTCATCTATTTTATCCTGTCCTGGTTGTAGGGTTTTTAGGATACTTGGAAAACTGTTTATGTTGTGGATTAGGACTTCTAGAGTTCATCCAAGCTTTTCTTTAATGAAGTTTATAGTCCTTGGTATTAGTCCTAGGTCCTTGACCCACTTTGAATTGATCTTTGTATATGGAGTGAGGTGTGGTTCTTTCCTGAGTTTTTTACAGATAAGTTTTCTATTTCTTCAACACCATTTGTTAAAAAGGCTGTCATTTTCCCACTTAACTGATTTCATCTCCTTATCAAAAATCAGTTGACCAAAAGTAGATGGCCTGATTTCTGGATTCTCAATTCTATTCCATTGATCTATGTGTCTGTCATTGTACCAGTACCGCGCTGTGTTGACCACCATGGCAGTGCAGTAGAATTTGAAGTCAGAAAGTGAGATTTCTACCTTGTTTCTCTTTTTTAAGGAGTGCTTTGCTTATTAGGGTGTCTTTCCATTCCAAATGAAGTTGGAGATTGCCTTTTCCATCCCATTAAAGAATGGGATTGGTATTTGTATTGGGATTGCATTGAATGTGTAAATTGCCTTTGGTAATATTGTCATTTTCACAGTATTAAGTCTTCCTATCCATGAGCAAGGGATATTCTTCCATTTCTCCAGGTCTCTTTTTGTTTCTTGTACTAATGTTTTATAATTTTCTTTGAATAGATCTTTTGTGCTTCTGGTTAGATTTACTCCCAAGTGTTTAATATTGTGATTAGCTATTATGAAGGGTATTGTTTTTCTTAGCTCCAGCTCTGTATTCTCTTTGTCACTGTAGAGAAATCCAGCTGATTTTTGTACATTGATCTTGTATCCTTCCACTTTGCTGAATTGGTCAACTATGTCCAGTAGTTTTTTTGCTGAGTTTTTAGGGTTTTCTAAGTATACTATTATATCATCTGCATATTGTTGTTGTTGTTATGTGCCGTCGA